TGTTCAAACTTTTCAAGTAGTCTACTGTATATCGTCCGTCTATGAGTGACTTAGTAAAGCATTTATGAAAATTTCCATGGGCGTGATGTGAAAATAGAAAACCAGATGAGAAAGGTCAATGGTCGGCCGTGAGTGGTCGTCTGACTAGCCGTTGAGCGATGAATTTTCCAGTTAACATAGTTAGTGCTGGAGAATTGTCCACTGACAAATGACTAATCGGTCTGATTCCTAAAAGGGCCTCTGTATCCTATTCATTCTAGTTCTAGTGTGTGGCATAGTGCCATGATTCAGTTGAGCACCAGTAGCAATCGCAGTGTTTTTTCTCTTTCAAAGTCTCTGAATGTGTTCAGCATTAGGAAAAGTCTTTCAGAAAAGGGTAAGCGAATCCAAAGGATGAGCGTTACTTGTGTTATCCGTTGCATTTTTATAAACCCTTTTAAAAGAGGTTTATCAAAATGGGAAATCATCTTCATGCTAAACGAATATTCGTTCATCATTAGGTATATCACTACGTAATACCTTATTATTTAGTTTAGTACAGTTGATAATTGATTCAGCAAATGGATTTGCAGATGGTTGATCAATTCCATCAATTGACAATTTATTGAATTCTTTTTACTCTTTAGACGATTTTGAAAAATTGTTTTTTGACCTTTGATCCTGACACAAATATATAAACTTTTTTTTCATATGACCCTCCTTTCGATAGAGAGAACAGTAATAACAATTGATCGATGTATTCGTGTTCAATTTCCATTTCGAATTAAAAAAGTTATATGCGAAAAAGAGTTTTTATTGGTACATGTATCATTGTAATGATTTCTGTTATTCTCAATTCTCACTTGATATTACCATGAATGAATGTCGTTGGTGATGCACCTGTGTGTTCTGCTAGTCCAACATCGCGAGTCAAACATATCAATACTTTTATTCTATTGTAAGTTTCTTCATATTAATTTATAAAATATTTCTCAATTACTTTTCTAAATATCAGATCAATTTTAATAAGGATTCTTCAAATAGTTTTGCTAATAATTACTTCGCTTGAGGGTATAGTTGAGTTGTATGAATGGGAGAAGAAAGTACATCCACATCCTCACTTACACCCTCAAGATGGACAATTGGGACCGGCCCCTCGTAAGAATACTTCTCCTATTCATAATCAAGATCAACATAGCTATTAACTTGCAAATCAATAGCTTTCATTAAAAAAAAGATTAGACCGTTCACAATTTTCTTTCGTTAATAAAGCATTTTATTAATAATTGTTCTGTAACAGAAAAAAGCTATAAAGCAACCCATTCTTAAAATGCTAAAATATAATTAATAGTTTTTTTATAAGTAAAAGGTAGATGTTCAATTTTACGGCAATTGTAAATTGAATTTAATCATTAAGAACATATTGGATGATAATAGAAATAACATTATACTTGGTTGTTTGGAAACTGATGCTAAAATTTAGAAAATTTCAAGTTTTATAAAAACAGATATTGAATGAAACAAATCTTCTTTAATAAAACACTACAAAAACTATAATATCCAATTGTCAAGATCTACTACAGGATGTATTAACTTTCATTGATTCTCTATCTTCATATGATAATCTAGTTAAATATTAGAACTTCTGTTAACGAATTCCTACTTAGAAAATCGAATTTTTCGGAAATACCATTGCGAGCTCTATATTTTCTAGAAAAAAGTTACGAAGATTTTTCTGAAGACCAAAAATGACCTTAAAATCGCTGAAAATATCAGCCCGAAAGGATCAAAGCTATAAAAAATATTTTCTGAGAGGGGGTGAGTCCTTAATTGAAGAATTTTATAAACAAGCAATAATCTCTTCTTAATTTAAATACTTTCGAAACTCGTTTCTCATTAAAATGAAAATATTTTAATTGAAAAGCTGGTAGCGCAACTCCTATATAAATTTATCTGAATATATAAAAGAATTATTCAATGTTATTTTTTATATAAATTTCAAGAGAAAAATCATTAACAAATGCTGATTAAATATGTCTGTTCTGCCTATGACGAGCTCTTGCTGAAATGTCTCTCATGACTATGGTAAGCAGTTTTCGACCTGATTGTTACATATGTTTGGAAAGTGAGTAAGTGAAACTATCTATCCTTATGTATTTCAACCAAAGAGAAAAAGCGAGACATCTGTACTTGAAAACTTCTTTTAGATCTTCTTACACAGTAATTATAGTTTTAGTATACTTACAAGTTGTAGGTACTTGTGAAAATGAACTTCGAGTTATTGAAGGTGTTTGAGTTATTAATGTTGATGGATTGTTCATATTAGTAAAATGGACAGTTGATGAACCTGATACAACAATTGAAAAAGATGTTGTTACATTTGGATGATTTGTTGTTACTACTAATATATATCTATTATAATTTTGTAAGGGATATCTGAAGAAAAATTGTGAAAATCCACCACTATCATTGTCATAGATAAGAAGATTTTCTGATGTATTATAAGAATTAAAACTTTTTAAATATAAATATCCATAAGTATCAACAGAATCATTAGTATAACTTTGAAATGTATAATCACCATTTTTCAAGATTGATATTATTATTGATTCGTAATAATATATGTCTGAGTTTGCTTGTCGATTAAATTTAAAACTATCTTTTGTCAATTCACTTGAATATATTGATTTATATTCATATGAGATTATTTCAGTTGACGCTAAAACAATTCATTTAAAATACTAATAATAACGCCCTATAGGTTTATCGCCCGTTAGGGCCAGTCACGGTTATTATTCAGGTTTTACATGCAACCGGATTTTTTCATATTTTTCTTTTTATAGACAGCGATATCTGTACCCTTTTCCATGGCTGATGGTATTGAAGTTTAAATATAGTACCTTATGAATATGTGGCAACAATGTAATTAATCAGCCATGGTGAATCTTAGAATTATAATACGAAGAATAATTTCTATAGTAAATTAAATATTTCTATTTCAAATTTAGTTATAACTATAGATTATAAAATATTTTATCAAGATAAAATTTCTATTCAATATTTCGAATTTAATCATTAATGAAAGAAAAAAACAGATGACTTACTAGGAAGAGTTGTTTGTCTTGTTCTATTTCGTGGTGAAGCTGAAGTACTATTTAATTTTTTAATATTAATTGAAGTTAATCCAGATATAATCAATGTGTAATTAGCGATAATTGATGGATAATATGATGTAAAAACTAATATATATGTTTCATTTGAATCAAGATAAGCTGTAAATCGAAATTGTGGATCTAATTTATTCTCATTGTCCGATTGAATTAAATTTGACCGTGGATAATTTGGATGAAAACTCATAAAATATAAACATCCATATGTACTTATTGAACTATTACTTGTAAACATATAATAATTTGATGATGATGTACGAATTTCATAAGATTCATAATAATATTGATAATCAAAATTTGAATCTTCTAAACGATCATAGATGGAACTATTTATTGTTAATGATGAAGATATTGTTGTATTGATAGTATATAAATTAACTTATAAAAGAAAAAGAAAATATATGAAAATATATCTTTATTTGTTTTTTTTTCTTCTTATAAATGTAACTAAACCTGATGTTGTTGTAGGTAATGTTATTCCAGTTAATGAACAATTATAAAATAATCTAATTTCATAAATATCAGTTGTACTAAGATTGACGTTTTCTCCAATATCAACGTTTGGTATAATTGATTCAATTGTTGGAAAACCATTTGATGAGAAATCATATTTACCATAATGCATAATTGATAAATAATCATATGGTGTTCCAAGAGTATCAACATACGAATTTGTATATTTTTCAAAATTATGTTCTTCTCCTTTTTTTTTGAATTTAAATAATAAATTCAAAGACATATCTTTTAGATATATATCTACCTGCTCTTATATTTGAAAAATTAACTCGAACATAATCATCACGATCTGGTCGAGCTTGTTCATGATAAAAACCTTAAATATAAATTGAAAATAATAATTTTTTTAAAATTTATTTAAAACTTTGAGTTTCTACAGGATAAATAAAAATCTTTTTCTACAAGAGTATCATTATAATGTCAAATAGCATATATAACTAATTTTACCAGTAATACGATATTAACGTTGTAAGTGATAACAGTGTGGGTGTTGCATTTTCAACTGAATTTCATGAACAAGCACATGAACATCCATACCCTCAACGTTGGAAAGAGATTGCAAAGAGAAAAACGTTTTCGCTTTTTCACTCTCGAGAGTCAAGTGAATCGAAACGACGCACGTTACTAATTGTCTATATAACTATAAATCAAAGATGTCGTGAACATATGGTTTCTATTAAAGAACAGGGTTCTAATTCAATAGAATGAAAAAAATATAGTTCAAAACTCTAATAATTATTAAATAATTACTTTAAAAAAGCATTTATAGAAAAGAAAAGATATTCATCATAAATAATCAATTTCTTTCCATTCTCAGTTAACTGAACTTTCGTGAATTTGCCCTAAATTAAATAATTACGGATGACTAGTTACCACTACTTAACTCATTTTCATAGTTAATTCAAAGTTATTTAACATATTAGAACATCCCGATCAAGCGGCAAAAATTTTCTACCTTTAA